GATGGATGTATGGACTGTGAAAAGAGCTAAAAACTGCTTTGGATATTAAAACTCTTTGGATATTAAAACTCAACAAAAGTTTAGTAAACCATTTATTTATTTTTTTTGCAATCATAGAGGCATGGCAGCTCTAGTAAAACTGGCTTATCTTATTGTCATGGACCAGCCCTTAACTTAATTGTGTGGCCAGCCCTAAGTATAAAATATGAAAATATCAGAAATAATAGCTACTGAGTTAAAAAAATAATTGCTTTCCTATTAAAATGGTCTTTCTGTATTATAACAGTTATGAAGTCTGTTTTGTTCTATTCTTGGACTTTAACCCTATCTCCTTTCAACTCTTTTTTTCTCTCCTTCTTTAAGGTGAGGCAATGGAACAAGGTTTACGAGATTGTTGTAGATCCATAAGAATTGGAAAGATCCTGATTCAGAGCGATGAGGAGACGCAAAGAGCTAAAGTATATTATGCCAAGTTTCCCCCAGATATTTACCGGAGAAAGGTCCTTTTGATGTATCCAATTCTCAGTGAGTCACTTGAGTTTAATTTGCAAATTTTGGGTTGGGCTTTAAATTCCCTTTGTGCCTGTCTCTTAAGATAGATTTGTATATATTGTATATTAATAGAAAATTGTATATATTACCCTAATCCTAAAGGAAAGTGTAATTTTTCTCATTTTTTTCCTCTGTTGGATTTCAAGTTACTGGGGAATGGTCAGGTAAGCATAGGAATGCTAACCACAAGGTCAGCAGTTCAAACCCACCAGTTGCTGCAGGAGAGAAACTCTATAAGATCGCTGTGAGTATGAATCGACTCAATGGCAGCAAATTTGGTTTGGGAGTTTTAATAAGAGAATAAACACTACTCAAACTTTATGAACTCCAAATAGCTTCTATCCTGACATGAGCACATTGAAGCAAAGATGTATTAGACATTGAATTCTGCCTCCCCAGCCCATCCCGACATGGCCAAATATAATATGAAGCCCTACCCCGTATATTGCCGGAGGTGATCCTGTTTGGAAATAAAGTTTTCATTTTGTTAATGAAGTCATGTCAGAGTAGGGTGAATAACAGCCAGGGTGCGATGTAACAATGATGAGAAATACAACTTTCCTCTAGTTCCTAAATGTTTCCTCCCCGCTCCCACTACCATGACTCGAATTCGACCTTGCAAGACTGGCTAGACCAGAGGAGGTACACTGGTACAGATAGGAACTGAAAATACTGGGAATCCAGGACAGATGAGCTCTATAGGACCAGTGGTGTGAGTGGCGAAACAGGGAGGGTAGAGGGAGAATGGGTAGGAAAGAGGGAACCGATTACAAGGAACTATATGTGACCTCCTCCCTGAGGGACAGACAACCGAAAAGTGGGTGAAGGGAGACGTCGGACAAGGCAAGATATGACAAAATACCCATTTATAAACTATCAAGGGCTCATGCGGGAGGGGGGAGCGGGGAGGGAGGGGAAAAATGAGGACCTAATGTTGGGGGTTTAAGCGGAGAGAAAATGTTTTGAAAATGATGTACAGATGCGCTTTACACAATTGATGTGTGTATGGATTGCGATAACAGTTGTATGAGCCCCTAATAAAATGTTTAAAAAAATAAAATAAAAAGGGAAAGTAGACTTGGAGAGCGACACATGGGGAGAATCTGGATCCCAACAGCTAATGGAAACTCAAAGAGTCAGAGATGGTTATTTCCCTATGGCTGACACCCTGAGTTCAGACTTCTAGCCTTCTGAACTTTGAAAATAAATTTCTGTCCTTTAAAGCCACCCATTATGGTATTCTATTATGGTAGCAATAGGTAACGAAGACCGTCAGTTGTCTGTCAGTTTGTTGTACTGTGGTGGCTTGTGAGTTTCTGTGATGCTAGAAGCTATGCCACTGGTATTGCACATGCCAGCAGGGTCACCCAAAGTGAACAGGGTTCAGTGGAGCTTCCAGTCTAAGAACAGATACCGAAGAAAGACTCGGCTCCCTTTGTCAGAGGAAGGAACCACTAAAACCCATGAATTGCTGCAAACACTCTCAGATACTGACAGCCTAATGAATGGAAGCAGAGCATTGTCAGAGATAGTGCCGGAGGAGGGGCCCCTGGGATCTGAAGACACTTGAAACATGACTGAGGAGGAGCTGATTTGTTGGAGTGGAGTTGACCATGAGTTGTGTGACAAGAGTTGGGGAAAATCTGCGGGAGCGGAGCCTTCCAGATCCTCATTTGCTGGTGAGGCACCACTCCAGGTAAGGAGAAACTGCTACACAAATCTGCAAATGATCGGAACGTGGAGTATATGAAATGTGAATCTAGGGAAATTGAAAGTGATCAAAAAGGAAATGAAACACATAAAGATCAATAGCCTAAGCATCAGTGAACTAAAATGCACTGGCATTGGCCA